TGAGAGACTAACACAGGTGAATCAAATAATAAAAATGCCATGTACATCACTACAGATTATGCGAGAAGGTCAATAGTAATGCTTCCATTTAATCCTGAGTTACAATCATATTACTAAATCAATAAGCCCCCCTCTCAATTAAGCCCCCCCTCTCCAATGAGCCCTTCCTCAAACGTGCCTGAAATAAATAAGCCCCCCGGGGGGCTAAATAGAGGATTTACGGTATCTTCTTGTGTCTTGGCTTCCATCCATTGAACATTAGAGGACCTTAAGATTTGCAAAAACTACGACGGCGACGTCAACCGGAAGTATAAATAACTTTACTTAAGTTTACTTCAAAGTCTGTCTTCCCTGTGCATGAGTTGACTTTAATGGCAATATTTTGAATAAAATCTCCAATGAGCAGAAGCCTTGCCGTCGTAGATTTTGTTGCAAATCTTAAGTCTGTCGCCCTAACGGTCTGAGATCAGTACTGACTTTCGTTTATTAGAGCGCTCAATGCTCATCACTTACCTAACCCAGACACCTCCACTTCAGACGTACGGTACATTTTCTCGTGTTTTGGTCTTTGTCAATCTGGGCTCGGATGTACGAAGGGTAAAAAGCGCTATCCGACGGACGGATAAGTTTTATCCAGTGGTTAAATTTATTGGATAACAGCATCGACTTATCCACTGGATAATATTTATCCATCGAATAGCGCTAGCTATTCACCCTTCGTACAACTGGGCCCAAATGCACGACTGTTTGGGTTTGTAAAATTCGATTAATGGAAGCAGAATCCATATGTTGTGTAGGTAACATGCAAAAACATGAAAAACAGCCGTAGAAATGGCAAACACACTGACACTTTGGGGTTTTCGAGCTAGTCGCTGAAACATAAAAACAGCTTTCATAAAAGGGTATTTTTCAACTATTCTTGGAGCGCACGTGACGTCAAAGCCGCCATTTTTCTTGGCTTTGGAAAAGAACTCTTGTCATGTCAACATGGCAGCCACGTCTTTTGACCATTTATTCTCATGGGAAGAGATGAATGCCACTAATTATTAATAACAAAATATTGAAGTACATTTAAATTTTGTTTATAAAATAGTACATATTCTTACGCTTAAATCAAAAGTAGACTTTAACAGTACAACTTAGATTAAATCTATTGACAATTCTAAATGTCAATTAAAGATGAAAGGGTTGTTATATGAACGATTTCAAGGAGGGTGAGTGCTACTTAGAAAGGCATCGAACAGCATTCTTTTTAGGGGGGTGACTAGTCACCAAATTTACCCCACCCACCCATACCCCCTGGAATTGCCCTTGATGAGGGGTGTTAGTTGATTCGATTCCAAAGCCATACGTCTTTTGAGTCTGTTTTACTTTCTAACTTTGTCGTAGTAACATTCGTTGCTGTATTTGATCCAGGACATGATTACCAATCATCCCCTGGGAATTCCCAGCTCACCGCCGTCCATTTGTGGAGAAACAGAATTAAACATTGGTAGTGAAGAAACTGTTTGTAGTGAATTCGATGGTAATGAAGAAGCCATGGCGGGGATTTTGTCGAACGTCAGCGTGTTAATGCAGAGTAATCAGCAAGGACTAGATCAGGCCTTTGCTGGTGCGTCGGGCTATCAATCTGGGACGCAGGCATTTACTCCACACACTATTGCAGAGGATCAGTGGAGTGTGCTTTCCTTTCAGTCTTAGAACAGTTAAAAACCTTATATATGGACTGATTTTAGCGCACAATTGCAACAATAGCTATCATTGTAAAGTGCATACCATATATCCGTGAACTTAAAAAAATTGTACAGATTAGTACAAAGTTTTGTAGGTCTACGGTCTACTGGTATGCATTCTACTGCATTGTGTATGATCAAGTATTCTCACGCGCAGATGCATGTGCAATGGAACAGGCTTTTCGTCGGAGAACAAAGAATTTACCCCCCGCTACATCATATTAACGCTAAGTTTGTACGAAAAAACAACACGAAGTAAGTATACTTTTCTATTACACGGAAGACATTGATTAAGGCGTCCCTTTGCCTATCCTGTCTCCTATAAAACCTGCTCCCTAGCCATTCCGAGGTTGAAGGAAAACTGGATCGAGTTGGCACTGCAGTGCATTGTGGGACTGTTTTAGAGAAGGAAATAGCCTCCATCTTGGACTAACATCATGCTATAAACATGATATTAATATATGCAATTATTATATGACCGTGAATCTTGGAGCCTGGACACTAGCAAATCGAGCAATCTGATTGGATAGATCGCATCGCGGACTGGTCTAGGTTCTCCGGTATTAACCTGTCCGATCGCATATTAATCTTACGGCGAAAACATTTTGTCCTTTTCAATGAAAMGTGGTCATATAATAAAACTCTTATCAACCGAGCTTGGTCGGTCTGTACGGGATAATCTTGACCTCGGTCGGGTACAGACCTCGGTCAAGATTATCCCGTACAGACCTCCCGCTCGGTTAATAAGATCTAAATACAGGAAGCAATTGCTGGCTTTCGCTCATCTGATAAAAGTTTTTGAATCTCATAATCTGCTCCAAATGGTGGTCAAACACTGGCCACCATGTGCTGTCAGCCAGTAAGAATCCTATTGAAAACTTGCAATTCAGCTGAAAAACATTCAACGCGAGACGAAATTACGTCACTAGTGCGACTCATCAATAGTTTTAGCCTAGTATAAATACAGTTTCTACATACAAGAATTGGCAAATGGTCATCAGTGACGAGATTGACTAAAAGTAGTAAATTGTTCTTTTTTCATATTTTGTTGGGCTACCTGTAGATTTGGCGGGAATTTCGCGCCAAAACGCGTGTGCTCGCCCCTCCATCTTTACTCTCGTAACGCCACTGGTGGTCATATGAAGGTACTACTGGGGAAAAACTGTTATTATTCAAATTTGCACCTTGCAACCTCGGCTGAATGCTTTGTGTTTGACCAGTGAACCGATGTATGGAAAATAGTGAATAAAGGCTTTTATTTGTTTCGGTCCTATGGGTTATTAAGATATGAAATACGTACTCGGTTATTCATTTCTATGTGGTTTTATGCACCAGTACTGGGATTTCAATTGAGTAGTGAATTGGTTCTCATAAAGTTTCGACGTCTACGACAGTCAACCATCAAAAGTGTTGTTTTTTTCTCGGTGTTCTTCTCTTAAAGTTCTGATAATGAAGTCGATTTTGAAGCTTGTATACTTGTTGCCTCAACTTACGTTCATTTATGAATTTTATGTTTAGGAATCTTAAATTTAGAAATTTTTTAAAATGGTTTTAATTAGCTTATGAACTGCATGGCGAAATCTAAAGGAAGTTTGGACCAGTAGACAAAAGACATAGAAAATAAAATGCTTACCATTCACTTGAGATTGCAAGACATTAAGTAAAAAAAAATGCGTTTAAGTAGCTAGCCAGTTTCTAGTTTGGACAGAGTTTGGACATGACCAAAATGCTGTGGAATATCTGGATATACAGTAATGGATAAATGGACTTGACCGTCATCACATCAGTCGGTCTGAGGTCTCTGCATACGAACTGGAGCATAACTTCAAGCAGATAATATTTTATGTCTTTTAAGGGACTTAATTTTAGTTATTTTATAAAAATATAAAGAAATAAAGCATTTCAAAAGTCGTTTGTTTGTTGGCTTTTTTCTTTTAGTTCTTTTAGGAAAAGAATCTATTTTCCTCTCACTTTCTAGTGTGGTAGAAAAGGACCTCTGCTCGCAGGGTATTCTTACAGTATTACTGTGAAATATTTATTAGCTTCTTATCGCGATTCGTTGTTTTCCAGTCTTTTATAGTTGGATAACAGTGAGAGGGTACTACTGGTTTCGCCACGACATGGAATTCAGAGGATTATATACCTCTAGATTGGGATTAGTGCAAGTACTCTAATAAGCCAGTTCGAACTTCTGGAAAATAAAATGAACCATACAGTGGGAAATTGTCAAATCGCTGATAAATTAGCAATTCGCTTTTTTTTTTCTTTTATTTCATCTCATTTTGTTTGATTTCAATTTTAATATTTTATTCGATATATAAAATAGAGCAAAAATCCAGGGAATTTTGATAATTTTGATAATGCAACTGGTTTGTGAAACGAAGGTTCGAGAATTTCAAAGACAGCAAAGAAAGACGTCATTAAATTTAAGAGTCTGAGTCTGAGTCTGGGTACTAGTTTTATTTTCCAATTTCTGAGAAAAATGACGTAATGAGAATCGGGGTAAATGAAGGACGCTGATTGGTTGATCTTGGCCACGTGGTTTCTCCAACTTCCTGTTTTTGTAAACAAAATCGACCTGGAAGAGCGAATGAGCTGAAAAATTGGCAAGCTTTTCAACATGTAAGGACATTTTGGAGAGTAATTTATACTTATTTTAGATATGTCTTTATCACAAAAACTGTCTACACTCGACGAAGTTAAAAAGAAGGAGATCAAAGCACAACTTCAGAAACATTTACCCCATTATTCTGTAGAAGCTCAAGTTCTTCTTCATCCTAGCGTTCTCGAATGGATGGAATCACAATCGTGGTGTGTAATATTTACGTTGAATCTTTCAGTTTTTAAGTAACTGTTGGAGTGAAGGAATCTTGAATTCAGGAAATGTGCTATACGTGTGTTCGCGTGCAATCTGTTAAGCAATTCAAGCTGATAAAATAAAAGGAAAATGAATCAGCTATTTGTTTGCTTGCTGAAACACAGAACGAGAAGAATGATCTTTGAATTTCTTATATATCAATTTGTTCACGCCAGAAAAACTAGAAATGATCATACCGGACATATGAATCCTTACATGTCTGGCAATTATGACTTGCACTAGTATCTAAATTCTTTTTAATGATTTTTTCTATATTCGTATAACAGGGAAAGCAGTGATGCTTCTGTTGCAGTGAATTCGATAACAACGATGTTACAAGAGAAGGTGAGAAGTGTGTGTTGAGGAATTTATACCCCGTTGTTATGTTACGTGATAAACGAATCTCAATTGGGACGGAAACGATGTAACTAAGAAAAATATTAGGTGATAAGAATGTGTTCAATTATTAGGTGATAAGAATGTGTTTTTCTTTTAATGACCTCCCCAAATCCCACTGAATAAGAAAATAGTAGAAGGAATTTGATTTTTCTTAATTCTGCATTGATCTCTCCGGCCCCGTCCACACTATGCCGGATAAATTTGAATCCGAATTTTTATTTATTCGGTTAGGCCTGCCGTCCACACTAGTCCGGGCGAATCCGGAACAATTCTTCACTGAAAACGAATTTTCGAAATGAACCGAATAAATAAAAATTCGGATTCAAATTTATCCGACATAGTGTGGACGGGGCCTCCATTGATTTCCTATAGCTGCCATCTAGATGCAGTTTAGGCTGTGTTCATAATGTATGGCAGAAGGGGGTAGGTGAAATTGAGGGGGGATTGGGAAAATTTTGGAAGAAGGTACAAGCCTTGCTTAGGGGGAGATCATATTTTTGTGCATGACTTTAAGGGAGGGGGGTGTTAAGAATTATTCTGGACATTTCAAATTTTCACCTGCCCCCCCCCCCCCCCCCCCCCTCCCATACATTATGAATGCAGCCTGAGCTAAAACATCTGTTTTCATTTAATATTTTTGTGGCTATTGTAAGCAATGTATTAGTGGTGTGTATGATAGCATTTACAGTAAGGGGCCATTTACATGGAGAAAACTTGTCCCTGGTAGCAGGGTGACCTTGACCTACTTGAGCCAACTATACCTAGCATTTATATGGAAAGAAGTTGTCCCTATAAACCCAGGACAACTATCAGTTTCAATGGAGATACAAATGTTCAAACCATAGTTAATAGAGGGGAATCCATTCCCCTCTTTTAACTATGTTCGAACCAAAAAGTTGACTTGGTTAGGCCACAGGCAGCTTAAGCACAGAGTTTGTGAAGAACGCATGGTTTACTTAATTTATAATGAGATAAATGTTAGAATAGCCAACCAATAATCCATTTTACAGTTCCGTTCCGAGCCGAGGCTGGAGTTTCCGCGCATGATAAAAAGTATAGTTTTGCTATGTGCGGAAACTGCAGCCTCCACTTGCAACTATTATTCGTGGTCACTCGAACAGAACTGTAAAATGGAGTATTCAAGTTCTTTTAAGCTTCTTTTGAAGTAAGGGTGAATGACTGACACAAAAGATTGTACCAAGGAGTAGACTTTGTTTACTAAGGCGGCCTTTCTGACATCGATTCCATGAAATTTGTCCCTATTCCCAACCTGAAGTTTGGCGGCCATTTATGAGAAAGGCTTGGGCTGTCTGTGCTACTGTATGTCATGGGGTTACAAGTTTGTGAGTAACACCACAGGAAGCCCAAAAGTGCTCAATAAACAATAAACTTTGGAACGAATAAGCACTGATAATAATTAACAGATACCAATCACTACATGTATAATCAACAGACAATGAATAAAAGTTTGGAGTCAATCCCAACATCATGGTTTCAGATGATTTCATTGCAGGTTCCACCAATAACAGATGTCTTTACCTTAGGCATAAAAATAATGTTTTCCCAGTTCATAGTTATTGTAAATTCCTATTTTTTCCTATCACAATCCTTTATATATATATATATATATATACATAGCAATAACCACATGTGCTTATTAAGTGCATGTTTTTCTTTCCTTACAGAATGTTTACATGAGTAATGAGCCCATTGAACTTTTGAATCTGCTTAAAATATATTATTTTGTAAAAGATCTAGTAAATCAAGTGGTGGTTGATTCTGAGGTATGGTAATTAAGACATTCAAAGGTTTTTATATCAAAATTAATTTGCATACTTTTAAAACAGGTAGTTTATGATGTTTCGTTCATTCATTCAACATCCAGGCAGTGTTTCATTCTAATTAGCAATAACAGGTTTTTTTATATTTTTATTTTTGAAAACATATTTTTATTAAAACATATATTTCTTTCCTCTCTCCATCCATCCATTTATCCATCCATTTATCCATCCATCCATCCATCCATCCATCCATTCATCCATCCATCCATCCATCCATCCATCCATCCACCTATCCATCCATCCATCCATCCATCCATCCACCCACCCACCTATCCATCCATCCATCCATCCATTCATCCATTCATCCACCTATATATCCATCCATCCATTCATCCATCCATCCACCTATATCTATCCATCAATTAGAAATTAAATTTGAAATGTCTCCAATTTATTTATCTATCTATTTATTTGTTTGTTTGTTTGTTTGTTTGTTTGTTTATTTATTTATTTATTTATTCATTTAGTTACATGTTTCAAATAATTCAGTAATGTTGCTTTTAGAAATAAAATAAACTTGAAAAAACTCGGTTTACTTCAGTTACAGAAAAATGATGAACAGATCAGAGAAATTCAGCAGAAACTAAAAGAGAGGGAAGAATTCTTTTTGTCTCAAAGTAAGTCTGGTATTTTATTTTTATTACACCTGGGCAATATGTGTTGTAATCTTAATTCTTTCACTTTTCCACTTTTACCAGCTATATGTAACCTGGAGATTGAAAAGCTCAAAATAACTAACAACAACTCAATGCTTACCCTGCAGCAAGACAAAGTAAGAAGCCAGTAATGCATTATGAGCGCGCTAGCTGTGATCCGGTCGTGAGGACTCATCTTAGCTAATCCTTTCGGGGAGAGGGGTACGTACTCTTGCCCGTTAAGGGTAGGGATGTGCCACTGAGCTTTCTGAACCCTGACCCTGTTCCAGAGTAGAATCGCTGAAATTCAATACCCTGTTCCAGAGCAAGATCGCTGAAAACCATACCCAGTTCCTGCATTGTGAAAATAGATACCCTGTTTCAGAGAGGAGAGAGCGTAATTTCACATACCCTGTCCCAAAGTGAGCACCATTTTATATACCCTGTTCCAGAGTAAAATCGCTGAAAACCATACCCTGTTTGGCAGCATGTGCCTGTATAGCGAGTATAAGGGAGTACCCCCCTCCTCCCTCGGGGCTAATCCTGACTACACAGATTTACACAGAGTAATTTTCATCCAGGCCCTTTCTAGATCCAACTACAATTTAGAGGTTGATTTTTGTGGAGGGAGGAAAGCCAGAAAACCCAGAAAAAAACCCTTAAAGCACGGAAGAGAACCAACAAACAACTCTACTAACATACGACAAGTCTGAGATTTGAATACAGATGGCATTGGTTAAATGCGAGCACTCTCACCACTACACAACCGTACCCACATGCTTCCTTTACCCACCAAAACCATTTCCGCCATTTAATACCGAGTTATTTAAATGATAAAAATTGCACTAAATGTATGTATATTTTTTGGATTTATTAATAAATTGGTTGGGAGAGAGGATAACTGGAGGACCAGCCAATAAAAAATAACATATTAGAATCAAGGGGAGAACCTAGATAAAACCCTCAAATCAAGGTGGGGACATCACAAATCGTGACCACCCCATTCCCCCCCCCTCCCCCCAAAACGTTTTACTTAACCTGTGGTTATAGCAGGATGCTCAAGAGCTTGCACTACCCATGGTGGTACCGAGGAATGACCATGTTGTATGCAGGTGCTAGGGTAGTTATAGAGCAAGTGATGGAGCTAAGCAAATATTTTGTCCTTTTTTCTAGAGTCCAAAAATAAGTGAAATCAGCAATACAATTATTACTTTATTACAGGTATGTAGACCACTTAGCTATAGTCTTGTAAGAAATGAGTGGGTAGCTATATGGGCACTTTTCATTGGGGACTGGGTTTGGGTAACTGGGTAGGCAACACAACAATAGATTGTTTTGAAAATATTGAAAACATTGAAACTATTTTTCTGTGCCAAACAAAACAAAATTCCTAAACATGGCCACCTAGAGCCAGCAATAATACAAATCTGCACAAAAAATTGGAGTATTAGATCTAGAGCATTTCTAAAACAAGCTAATAATGGACATTAATGAAGTTTCCAAATTTTTTAGTGTAAACATCTCATGAACAATTAGACCGGGAACCTGAAATACGGTCTATGAGTCAATAGTTCATGAGGTATTTCTCTTGCACCAGACCCCCAGGGGGGGTACTCCCATATATAGACTATATGGGGATGATCTGCTTAACAGGGTATGGTTTTTCAAGCTTCTTGTCATAACAGGGTATGCAATTTCACTCCAGTTCCAATTTTTTTCCTGAGTTTCCTGTCATATTCAGGGTTTCTACTTTTGTATTGACTGAAACTGGTTACTATGGTCTTCAAAAAGTGAAACGCGAGTTGACATGATAATTGAAACAGGAACTCAATGCAATTAATTATGTCTTTTGTCATAAATTTGTGTTTTTTTGTCATAAATAGGGTACCCCTTTCAGAATCCCAGCGGAACACCCCTACCCAAATCCTATTAAAGTACCCCCTCCCCCCCCCTCCGGGACCCGGCCCTTCACAAAATATCTAAATAATTAATTATTGATTTATATTCTCTGTAAGTTTTTTTAGTGAAAAATAGAACCTGTTAAACCCATGAGGGTGAGAGGTCTAATTGTTTTAGAATAAACTTGAGTTTTAGTAATTCATCCAAAAAATGATATTTTTGGTTTTCAAAACCAGCACTTTTCACTACTATATTTTAGTGGTCTATCACTAATAGACCACATAGCTCAGCCAATCAAATGTCAATTTTGCACAAAAAGGGAAAAGGTAAAAAAGGAAAAAGGATTTTTAAAAGGGAGGTGACAGTCACTGGGTAGCTTGGGTAATGGTGAGCTTGCAATGCACTACTGGCTGAGAACCTGTGAAAATCCTGTGAAAAACCTGTGAAAACACAGGTAACATCAAAATGACCTGTGAAAAAACCTGTGAATTTTACGCGGCCGATTTCATGTCGATTCTTGGAAAAATCTTGATTTTTGAAACCTGTGAAAAACCTGTGAGCATTTTAAACCTGTGGGGGCAAAACCCGTGAATTTTATTTTCTGTGGAGAAACCTGTGAAAAACCTGTGAAATTTCTAAAATTCAGAGATGTTTTTTACAGGTTTTTCACAGGATTTTCACAGGTTCTCAGCCAGTAGTGATGATAGAGATATGGGAATAATTGTCTAATTAAGGTGTTAAAAAAAGGTCTCTATCATTGCAAGCTCACTGTTCGTCTCGCTTTGATGCAAAGGCACGACTAGTCCTTTCAAGATGGCTCAGGGAACCGTGAAGGGGACTATTATACTCTATTCTTCTAGCAAAAAAGATTATAATAAATCTGAATCCAATAAAATACCTCTTTCTTCTTCAGCCATTGTTTGATAACATCTCAAAAGTTATAACAAAAAACAAAGATCTGCAAAGCCATATCCTCAGTCAAATAGCTGAATGGAATTTCAACAAACAACAAGCACAAGTTGGGTGGCCTGTCTTCTCCTTCTCAGAATTCCTGCAACCTTTAATTCTATTGTAAGTATTGCAGGATCGCAATCCTAGCATATAATTGTGACAACATGTAATCATGTCTCTGTCCTCTGGTGTGAAAGCATGGAACTGCAGAGCCAATTAACAAGCATGATATATATGCAATATTTTGTTTATATAATCCAGCACACTTTCGAACTGTGACCTCTCCTGAGCATTCCTTTTCTTTTCTTTTTGGTGATGCTTTTTTGAAACTAATTTAGTCATCTGCTTCAGTGCACATGGTGGCATAGTTAACAAGATGGCGAAGGGAACAGTAGTGAAGAAGGGGAAAATATTGTACATGTAATATAATACTTTTCGTTTCCTTATTTTCTTGCCCATATATATTTTCATTTTTAGGTGTAATAGATTTGCAAGAATCCTTTGGTCAACACGCAACCAGACAGAAAAGGTATATTACACACAGCCGGATGGGAGGAACCAAAATGATTATACCTCATGCCAGTTTAATTTACAGCCATCGTGTCATTCCTAGCTTTGAGATTAAGATTTTTTGCCATTTGCATGCATCCTTACATGAATGTAATTAAAATGATCATACTCAAGGGAATGGCACATAGTCTGAAATGGGCAAAAGATTACTTCCAAGCTAAAGAAATTTTTGGAGGGATTTTACTTGCTGCGATCCATAAAAAGTAGTGTCAATAGCAAGTGTAGTAGACACTAGCTGATTCCATTGCTTTCTACTTTGTGTAACCGGCGGCAAGGCGCTCAGCTATGAATCAGATTGCAAGTGGTTTTGACAAAAGAATTTATTGAAAAATTCACACAACTTTACAATACATGAAAAAAAAACGGGAACGAGATTACAGGATATCTCTAATGAAAACAAGAAAAATATTTACAATGAGATAAAATAAATTTGTAACTTATCTAAATAGCTAAAAGTTATGAATAAAATACAGTTTTGCTAGATATAAATAGAAACGGAAATACGTAAATTACGTCACAGGTAATTTGAATATTGCATACTGATTAGCAGTGTTTACAATACGCGAGTGAAAATTACTAGGTTGCAAAGTTTAATGTACAA